ATGCAATTAAATAAATAAATAAATAAATAAACTGAAATCAGAGCAAAATTTATGTGTCTAACTGGAGAAAAGGTCAAGATTAAAACTTACCCAAGCTTATTGTTTTTGCATTAAATATGGGGTTTTACATCCAAACATAATCAGCTTTCCAAATGGTTCAATGTCATTTAAAAACAAATGATTCATTTCAAAATGTATGTCACATCCTTGGCCAAAATAAACAAATTTTACAGTATTTAGATACTTGATTTTATTTTATGTGTTATGTGTTAACTCTGGCTGTGTTTCCATGCCCCTAATCTTATTCTGTGAACTAGCTATTGACATTCCCCGGACCAAAGCTGTTTTGGAAGTAAACTCACCTTAACTTTATCTCAAAGCAATGAAAGCAGGGGTTTAAAATAGAGTAATAGTTTGCCAAGAGCAAATCCTCAATATGAGAGAAGACCTGGAATTTTATTGATGAATTCTAGCTGTTTAAAGCTCCTGAAAGAGGCACAGATAATCTTCACGCTACACCAGAGGTCCCCAACCTTTTGGGCACCAGGGACTGGTTCCATGGAGAAAGGTTTTTTCACGGACCGGAAAGTGTGTGGTTTTGTATGCTGCCTGCATCCCATGGATTGGGCTTTGCTTGTTTGTGCGGACCGGTTGCTGGCAGGCTGTGGCCCGGTACTGGTCCATGGACCGGGGGCTGGGGACCCCTGCACTACACAGAAAAATGTCTTTGAAGCATTCACCAAGTCAAGCAATACTATGATCTCTAAAGGAGTTTCCCTTGACAAACCCCAACCCACCAATAAGCATGTAAACTTTAGCTAGTCAAGCATCTATGTGTTGATTGATAAGAGGAATTTAAATTAAAATTTGACTGTGGCAGGGAGGCAAGGGCAAAGGAATGCGTTTTGGGTAAAGAACTTATGCTTTGGAAAACACTGTATGCTTCCATATTTGTAGAGAAAGTTGCTTGATGAACTCTTCAGCTCTCACTAGTCTCAGGTGAAGTGAAAGGAAAGAAAGAAGTGCTAATTAAGTCTATACGTTGTCAGAAATCTTGGGAAA